TCTTTTTTCTTCTTCTCCCTCCTCTCTCTCTCTCTCTCTCTCTCTCTCTCTCTGCTCTTTCTGCTCTCTCTCTCTCCGCCTTCTGGCCTTTGTGCTCCACCTGACTCTCTACAATGAAGATCTCCTGTCGGACTTCTCGGTGTGTGAGTAACCTGATTGGAAAGGGGACACCTGAAGGGGGCACACGAGACCCCTTTCAACATCTTTCTTGATAACTAAACCATTCTGTCTCTCCCCTCAGACACACTTGAAAAATGCCTTCTTCCACTGTACGTTGTACATGGTTTACTCAGGCATTTTCTTCCATGAACACATTTCTTCGTTCTGTTATTCGCTGTCATGTCTGTGACAGCCCTTTGTGTTCTTCTGTCTACTGGACAGAATTTTGTCCAGGCCAATGTTGTTGTTCAGAAATGGAGGAGTGCATGATGGCAGGAACTGAGCACAGTTCGGAGGGTTTTCTCTGAGGCAGGCAGAGGCAGGAATGCCATGGGAAGGGCGTGGATTAAGAACACAGGGTGCTGCCTTTAGATTCCACATCTGGGACAAATTAATTATCTTCTCTGTGCTTCTGTTTTGCCACCAGAACAACAGTGACAAAAAGAGTAGCTGTCTCACAGAACAGTGTAAGTATTCATGCACTAGCATATAAAGCATTCAGAATAACAGTGGTTTCCAAAGACACAGCACAGTTTGTGGTATACTCGTGTATAGCTGTAGCTCTTTCATTAACACAAATGGAAACTGATGCACAGACATGGGAAGTGGAGAAAAAGGTTACTGAGCATACTAAATTTAGGAGGGCTTAGGGAAGGCAATGCAATCAAGAGCACCACTGCTGGGTCAGAGACACAAAGAACCCCAGGGCAAACAGCAAGAGAATTTATGTTCTACCATTGTTACAAATGGAATTCTCTTGCTGATTCCGCAAATCTCCATAATAATGTTTTGCATTTACACTTTAGTTGCTGTGTTTGGTGTTCCTCACATGCAGCCTCAATTAAATGCCGTCTTTGGAAGTAGAAGCAAGAATGGCTATTTCATGGGTTACATTTTAATACAACAAGCGTGCTCATCTCGTACCTCCACCACAGGGCTTGGAGCACTGCGACCAGCTCTTCAGCGCCCACTCAAACGTATCCAGCTCGTCCTGGATGACGTTGTTGCTGCTGATGGTGGGCACAGAGTCCTCGTGGATGATGTACTTGTATGTCAGGCTGCAGCGGGTGTCGTTCTCCTGAGGTATAATCTAGCATGTACATGACATGGATGCGTAAGTCAACTGAGCATTTTCAAATTTTGGCGAAAATTTATAAATATGTAAGAAAATTGTGCTTATCGACAATGGAAAACTTCAAGTAGTTTAGAAAATACAATGTTTTTGTTCCTATTGACTCAAGTGTAAGTATACACTGTTTAAGAAAAAAGGCAAACATAAAATTTTGAATATAAAAAAGGCATACATGAAAGAGTGCTTGTATTACAAAAATAACGTTCTAGTAGTCACTGTAGGCTTCCTGAAATTGCCATCTCCACGGTACATTTTACACTTGCTCTTGATAATAAACTTTTGTTATCATAAGAAAGATAATGTCTCTCCAGAAAATATACACATTAGGGAAACATGATGAAAATAAAGGCCATGCATATTGTACAGAATCAGAGGGCCCCCCAGTCAGTGCTGGGGTCTGGGACACTCCTCGGATACTGCATGGCAGGGTGTGTAGAGGTTCTGACTTTGCTTGTTTCACCTCCTGTGGTACGAACATCTCCCCAGACAGTACATACGCCTAAAAGTGGTGTTTGCCCATGCTTGTGTAGTCTTAACACTGACGCTGCTCACTAGTTCACTGTTCACTCACTAGTGCCTACTTGGATGGGGCAGCACCATCCCCACCTTTATGGGGATCTGACTTTCTGACAGAGTCCACACAGCACAAACACTGGATATCCTTGAAAAGACTGGGGAATGGCCTTCAAGGGGAATTAGAACAACTGCTATTTTCATAAGGAAAGTATATGAAAATGCTGTAGTTTAGCACAATAGATAATTTTCACCTGCATTAATTAGGTAGGAATGAGTTATTTATTTGACAGCTGGACAAGTTCATTTTCCTATGTGTACTTCTTATATGTTGTGCAGCCTGATTGTCAATCCTCTTTTTTGTTTGTTTGTTTTTGAGACAGGGTCTCACTATGTAATTGAGACTGATTGACCTGGAACTCACTATGTATACCAGGCTAGTCTCGAATTCAGTGATCCTCCTGAGTGCTGGAATTACAGTCATGCGCTACCACACCCGGCTGTCAATCCTTGTTTTCATTGGTACATAGATTACTAAACAACATTACCCCTTTTTGTAATAAAAGTTGTGGATATTTCAAGTTTGTCATTTGCCTTTTTCTTTTGTTTAAGGCAAAGCAGATTTTTAAAAAAGAAAAATATCTTAATTTTTTTTTCAGCAGTGGGGATTGAACCCAGAACTCTCTTACTGACCTACAACTCCAACTCATTTTTTATTTTTAAGACAAGGGCTTGCTCAGTTGCTGAATTGCCCAGATGGGAGTTGAAATGACGATCTTGCTGCCTCAGCCTCCCATAGTGCTGGTATCATAGGTGTGTGCTACCATGCCCAGTTCATTTTTACTGTACTCGTTATAGGGTTGTACCAATCAAAAACAGAGATAAACAAATGCAATTCAGTGGTATTTTAAACTAAACTTGGGACCAGCTTTCATTTGTGAAACCAAATATACTAAACTCGGTGGAGTGAAGAATTGGCTATTTCCACACTATTTTCTATTTTGTTCATCTTTGATTTTCAAAACAACATTAGCAGTCAAGTACTAACTCTCACCCGCTAGCCAGAGACCTAATTCTTTCAGCCTCCATAGCTTTGTCCCACATGGGCTCTGGGGCTCCATGTTTACCAGGGGGGAAAGAAAGTTCTGGGTAATGGAGCACTGAGCCAGAATTCCTCTTTCCTGGCCACACATCTCCTTCCTGTGCCTCCCTCTCACTAGCTGTAGTGCCATTATAACCAGCAGGCCATGCTTGAGGCCATCTACCTATTGTGGTAGTTACAGCTCAGGGCTCTGAAACCATACACTGTTCTGATGGAAAGGAATGCAATGTAATTATTAAGAGTGCAATACAGCTTCTAATCCCTAGTTGTTCTAGTAGCATTCTAATTAGTTTATATACTCGCTGTAACCTGTGGATAAGCATGAGAGTACAGACAGAGATCTACCTAAATTTGGACAATTTTTGACATGAAATGAAAAGGAAAATTAACAGAGAGCAGTATTTCAACTAACAGTGCTGGAATTGGACATGTTAATAGTTATAAAAACATGTCCAAGATTAGGGTTTAAAAGGTAGTGACTTCTGTCTTGGTTGCACCTATTATGAGTTGCTCGCTGCAATTGAAATCAGTGCCTAGAGCAGCCTGGGGGAGAGGCACAGGTGGTAAGGGAATGAGTTTTTCCCACCACAATATGGAAAAGCTTGGGGACAATCTTATGAGATGGCTCACCAGCCGTAGGACCAAGCAGGGAAGCAGTCACCTCCAACACTAGGGAAGTATGAGGTGACTTTATCCACTGCTGGCAGAGATACTCTGGAAAGCTGCCTTCAGATGCATATCCACAAAAACTATGGAAAATACAGCTTGTGTTTAGCCACCAGGGTAAACTGTTATGCAGCAACTAATTAATAATGATGACATTTACATGCAAAGATAAGAACTTTTTAGTTTCCTACAGGAAACTAAAGAGCAGTAAGCAGCAACAAATCAGCTTCTCCAAGGTTCAGAATCCTGGCAAATAACAACTTGGGGAAGATAAGAAGGAAGGAGGTGGATCTCTGAGACATAGGAAGGATGTGACAGGGAAATTGGAGCCTCAGAGAAATTGAAGAGATAGATCACAGTGCGGAAAAAGGAGGGGGAACTTTGCATTTTCTTCCTGGTTTCTGGCTTCTGGTGTGAGAAAGGAAGACTGAATGTACAGAGTCCCAGTGAAAGTGGGTGACTCCAAAGGCCTCCAGGAAGAAACACACCTGTGGAGTGCAGCAGTGGATTCTGTGCACTACATCTGGTGGGTGACTCCAGTCCAAGTGACTGCCGTGTCCTCTGGAGAGGGTGCTTGGCCAGATGTCATTTTAGAAAGGAGCCAACTGATCTAGAACTCAGAGCAGCTGACGGTTGGCTTCATCTCAGGGCTTTTAGTGTTAAACCTCCACAGTGATTGGGTGAGGGACAACCGCAGATGTCCATGGTCAGGTCAGCAAGAGACACCCAGAGCATTACACATGACTCAGGCCTCACTTCCAAAACCAGAGTCCAGGCTTAGCATGGACTTGTGTGGATTTTAAAGTCGCAGAACTGGCACATCACTCTCATTCTACTGCCAGCTTGCTTGGCAGGTGAGCTGCCCTGATTGCCGTCTTTGTCTACCAGCAAGAGCAGAGTCACTCCTTGAACTGGACACTGACACAAACCCATCGACCCCAGAAGATAACCACAGACCTGAGATCACAGAGAAATTTCCTTTTTTAAAATTGCTTTTGATGTTTTTATTGTTGTTTTTGTTCATTTGGTTGTTCTGATTCTTTGTGAGTGTGAACATTTTTTTAGTTCTTTTGTTTTGTTCCTGATTTTGTTTTTTCTTCTTTCCTTCCCTCCTGTCTCCTGCACCACTTTTCTAAGGCTTTGGTAATCTTCTTTGGTCCTCTAGCCTTATTTCTAATCTCTTTTTTTCTTTTATTTCTCTAACTTTTCCTCTTGTTCCTTTTAAATTTTCTCCCCTTTTCACTCTTTATTTTTACTCACTATATAATTTTTCTTTTTTCTTTTTCTTCCTTCTATTTCTTGCTAGTTTTTTTCCTACCTTTACCAATTCTATACTCCTCAATAAGATCTTTTTTTAATCTTATTGAGTTTATTGGTACTTTTTAAGCATACAGTACAGTTACATTCATCATTGGGATCTCTCAACAAGATCATTTGTACAACTTCTCTCTCCTCCTCATATCACTGAGTTTAAAGTTTCAACATTTTCCTTTTGCATCCTGCCATTCCCAAACTCTAAATCTTTAACAGTATAGCCATAAAGCATCGCTAATGTTTTGGTAGTTAACTCTGTAAAATTATTGTTGAATTTTTTTGTACCATTAGCAGAGATATAGCTGTTAGCTTAGTACATATTAGCTGTAAGTTAATACCTGGGTTTTCTTAATGTTTACATTGTAATTGATGTCTAATTCTCTAGAAATAATGGTTGTACATAACTGGTTCTTATGTTATGTTAATATCTAATTTGTCTCAGGTAATACTACTGTGGGTATTTCAACTGATATTAATAGGGTCACATAACTATTTCTCTGTAAGCTAATATTCAGATGACCTTTGTAACATTAACAGTACTGGAGTAGATTTCCAGAAAATATGGTTGCTGGGCTGAGTACACTGCATCCTATAAGATCCGCAAAATAACCAAGGTGGTTGAATCTTGGGGCTGTGACAAAGAATTATAGTTAGCCACACACAAAATAAATCACTGAAAAGCAACTAAGGATATCATTATACTAGCAACAAGTATTTAGACTATATGCATGCAGAAACCTCAGCACAAAGCAAATGAACAAAGACAAAAGAAACATGGAAAGAAAAGGCAACAAATGCCTCCCAAAACCCATAGCTCCCCAAAGGCCAATACAGAGGGCACAAGAGGTTAGTGTAAGGAACACACCTGAATTGCCAAAAGCATAGCAGAGGAGGTTAGAAAATAGCTCACAGAGATACTCAGCAGTATTAGAGAAGATACTACTAAATGTATAATGTAAGTAAAAATAAAAAAGATGCAAGAGCTCTCAGAACCAGATGAGCTAAACAAAATGATACAAAACGTGAACGAATTTAGCAAAGAATTACAGAACATGAGAAGGTTTCAATCAAATCCAGATTAAAAATCATATTGAAAATATGCGCAGCAGGATGACTGATATGAGGACAAAATTTCAGAGCTAGAAGACAATGATGCTTTCAAAGATCAACTACTCAAAGACAACTTAAAAAAAGAGAAAGAGAAATTAAAAAACTGACCCAATAACTAAATTACCTAAAATAACTGGAATAAGTGAAAGATCAGAAAATGACATGAATGTCATAAAAAAACTTGTTCACAGAAGTAATGGCAAAAGACTTCTCCAATATAGTGAAAGAAGCAAGCATACAGATAAATGAGGCA